AGCGACCGCTTCTCCGTGGCATTGATACACGAAGAACAGCAAGGACGGAAAACCGAGCAGACACCATTTCTGTTCACCAGCAGCACAAGCACCAGCCAGCTAGGCAGCTAGCCGTCGTCGTCGTCGTCGTCGTCGTCAGCGTCGTCGTCGCCGCCGCCGCCGCCGCTGCTGTCGCTGTTCATTTCTCAAGCTGGTCTAGTCAGGCCGTTATTCCATTACTCTCGCTGTCTCTCTCTTTCCTTCCTTCTCGCGTCAGTAGCGTATACAGTGGCGGAGGCAGAAACCACGGGATTTTACGCGACCACCCAGTGTACTCTGGCTCGACGCTCAGCAACCGACTTCCGGAGCTGACCGGCTCTACGCGTTCCACCAGGTGAGCAACTTCGCGCTGATAGACCAGCGCTGGATCGGGTAGACATTTTGCTTGAAAATACTATCTTTATTCGAATTTCCTTCTCGTCTCGTCTCTTTTCGTGTATCAACACCCTGTATCAACACCCTTGGACCAACCCCCTCCCTCGATCTTAACACTGCACTCTACTCTTCGACAACCTATGAACCAAGAATCTTCTCTGAAACACTAATTTGAAAACAAATCATTCGACTGTATATCTCGGCGATTCCAATCCCTGCGACCATTGAGAATTCGACGAAGATGCTGTTAGCGAGAAAATATTGATTTTAAAGGTGCAATCGAAGAATCTCCGGCAAGGAAACTGTTAAAACAGAGAAATCCTATTTGTAACGAGCCCGAAACTCGATTACAACGCCCGGCCCCGCCGTGTCCCGTCCTGTCGATACACACCGGTTACGGTTACGCGCTCTTACTTTCGATCGAGGCCGACTCGGCCTCGAAACCCGTCCGCACTTTCGGAACAGCTGCTCGGCCGGCCGCGGACACCGAGAGGAGTACCAGTTTCGAGCGAACGTTTCACCGATGCCACCGTGCACGGTCCGTTGCCTGGCAATGTGCGAGCGGAGCCCTTCGCTTCCCTCTCCGCGGTTAACCCCTTGGCTGGCATCCCTCCTCGCGGAGGACTGCTCGGCTCCGACGAAACATCTCTGGCCGAATCCAACGGCCCGCGCACCGGATGCGGTCCTTCGAACCTCTTCTCTCGTGATTTGCTCCGCGTCGCACGCACGCACGCACGCACGCACGCACGCACGCGACACCCACCCCCTCTATCCATCCATCCATCTTTGCGTTTCTGCCTTTGCTGTTTTGCTAGAGCCTTGTTGCTTGAACATTCTTTCGAGGCATTTCAACAGCCTGTAACGAATTCTTCTTTTTCTTAATGGTGTGTGGCAGGCTTCCGAATTCGAACTGAAATACTCGTAGTGGTTTCGATTTCGGTTTCCATTTACACTTTGAGCGAATTAACAGAGTAATAACTTGTTCCAAGTCAAAGCTCGCCTCTTAGAAAAAGCAAATTGTTTCCATGTACGTAATACGATTGATGCGTTTAGAAGTAGTACGATTTCGCAACAGCATTTTAAATTCCGTGGATTGTTATGTTTGTTTGCTGACAGTGCCACAGAACGAAGTAAACGAAGAAGAGACAGTTTCAGATATTAGAACAGAGATGCCCCGGGAGCATGCGTAAATTCATTTGAATTCATGCGAATTCCTTTTAAACGGGAAACTCGAAGAAAAGTGGAAAAAGGACTCTTTAGAAACATACATGAATTTCAAAAGATGAATGGAACATTTCGACAACAACTTCGCAACTTGCTAAGAATTGTTTGAGCTGAATGGAAGCTCTTGACAAAGAAAATGAATATCTCTTCTCTCGCTGATTCTCTAAACACTACCCACGAAAGAACGAATACAAATAAACAGCCCCAGACTTCTCACAGAGAATGTTTTTTACTATACCTTCCACAATCTCTTGTTCCAACTTGAACCATTAGAGAAGAAGAATGATATACGAAATGCTATACAAAGTGACGTGCCCAGAATGTCTGTAAAAATGTTTTTTTTCCAACAGACCGTATATTTTTCTTGCCTCTGGCACAATTATTGTTTATCACGGTATTCTTTCTTTCCGAGATGACGTAGTATGACCTGGTAGGTTTGCAAAATCAAAGAAAAGTGAACGAAACGAACCGAGAAGAAAATTGTCAGTTCGCGAACAAACGTGGCCGAGAAATGAACTTACGAGGATAGCGTGTTTCGATGTTCGATCGAATTGGCCCGCACGAACGTCTAAAGATTCCGAGGTCGAGGAATTTTCTTCGACCCGGTGCAGTTCGGAGCAAGCAAACATCGTAAATTTTCAACAATTGCCCGAAGGTTTATGATGCGTCGTTGGTGCTCCCGGTCAACCGCGCGCAGTCCCGTCGCCGGCAATAAAACGCGGCAACCATTGCTCGAGAGCCCGTTAACGGCGGATTGATTCATGCCAATCGATGCTCCAATACCTGTCATCCGACAGATTGCAGTGTGCCGTCGTTACATTTTATGCCTCGCGATGCCCGAACAGCGCTCTATCTCGACTCGTGCTCCTTCGTTCCTTCCATGCGTCTGGATACCGTAGTGCCCTTCTAACGGGCTTCCGGAATAATGCCCGAGAAACGTTGAATCGTATTGCAGAGAAACAGTCTCGATAGTCTACTGTCTTAAGTCAGATATTGCTGGAATTTTCGCATTACGCTACATTCAACGTTCTAATTGAAAGTATTCTGGTTTACTTGAATTTCTTTGAATCAGCTGACAGTGAGATTCACGAGGGATTAGTTTCGCAGAAAATGAGACGGTTCATGCAACGTGGAAACATCCGTGAACCGTGTTTCTGCTGTCCAGAATTCATAAGTTTTTCGGCAGGTTTCTACCTTGTGGCGAACAGTGAGCATTTCGTGCGCGTGTGCGCGCGTGCGCGCACGAACGTCTGGTGATAGTTGCCTTTCAATTTGCTATTTGTTTCAAAACGTCCTTCCGCCCCTCCTCCGCTCGATCCAGCTGAAACAGAACTTCCTGTTTACTCGACGTCGCGGCCTTTTTCGTTTCATTCCCCTTCTTTGATCTCGTTGCCACCGAAAACGAGACTCTGCTGCTCTTTGACATAAACCCTGTCTGCTAAAACCCTTTTAAAGTCCGTCGTGTTTAAATTTCTTTTCCAACTGCCGTGGAACCATTGATTTTCGTTTACCCTCGCTGCTTTAATGATTTCGAACGTTATTAACCGAATCGCTTACAATTTCTGATTCAGCTGATGGATGAAACATCGAGTATCTTTCTCCGAGAAATACACGGAACAACGATCCGTCGTTTCTATTGCGACGTTCACCGACTACCCGTATCGAAAGGAACTTTCATTGGCATCTGCTCGTTAAACGCATACTAACAGTGTTCCGCTGATCGAATGATTTATTAAAATTGATCGAGTTCGAATGCGATTAGTCTTCTCACACAATTTTCTCTCGTTCCTTCGTTCGTGCATGATTATTTGAAGCAAGTAAATACTCGTATACCACGCAGGCAGCAGATGTTCCTTGTCGGAAGACAGAAGACCGCCGCGCAACTTGTTCGATGCCGTTAGGTTCTCGCAGCGCTGCGTGCGCTCCATGCGCTCCATGCGCTCGAAACATAAATTTCGAGGTGCCCGAGGCTACATTATGCATGCCGCGCGAGATGCGCGAAAATATTACCATAACCGTATCTTGCAAACGACCGATCGAGTCGTAAGGCAGTCGTCGCGATCGATCTTGCCGCCTGCCACTTTCGACTCTCCTTCGAGAAAAATTCCACTCGGGACACCGAGTCCAGTGTCTCGCGCGGTTCCGAAAAGTATTGGATGCAGCAAAAGTCACGTACTATCGGATGACGGTGATGTAATATTATTTGCAATGAAAACAAGTTCGTTAAAAAGATAGTGATTTATAAATTACTTTGAATGATTCGATTAATCGTCATGGTACACGACTTGTGGTTTATCCAGTATTTCTCAATTACTCTGGTTCACTGGAGTTTCAATTGATCTGATGCTTTCACTGACGTTGCATCAGTACGTTCTATTTTTTAAACTTACTTGTTATTTCAGTAAAGCCATTCTCGAATAATGAAAGAACAAGATATAGAAGCATTTCCCGAGCACAATTATTCATCCATTGCTACCATTCCATCGACCACTCGAGAACGAGGCTAATTCACGATGCCTAACATTATTTCAGTTTTCAGTTTCAACGCGAGAGTACTACTTCCTATACTTTCCACGTGAAACGAGACGCTTGCGTGTGCATTTACGTTTACATTCGCATTCACGTACGTTAGGAATTTCATATTTTCGCAACGATACTCGATGCCGTGGGACTTGATTCGGCGCGTCTGATAGCTGTGCAATCTCGGCGCCCTTAGGTTGCCAATGAAATGTGGAAAAGAAGAAAGTTCGTCAAGTGGGGCGAGAGGAGTTCTTGGAGGCAGCAAACAGGAAGGGGCTGGAGAAGCTTGAATTTCCTCGAAGGGAGGGATCACGCGCGGGGGTGGCTGCGACCAAGGGGCACCGCTGCCGGTGCCTGAGCAGCTGATGTCATTTCTTTCTCTTCTTTCTCTTCTTTCTCGTCTTCCGTTCCTCTCTCGACCCCTCGCGAGTTAGTCGGATCGAATGTTCCAGAAATCAAACACTTTGTCTATGACACCCCCTTAGCAGATTAGATTTAATCGATTTTTTCCATCGTTTGAAACCGACTGTTCGATACATGAAATTTCTCTACTATAATGTTCCATAATTTCCAACAAATGGCATAGCTACAGTTCTCGGTGAATTCGATCAGCCCGGCGTTCTCGCGGTCAACCATAGGTCCGCTCGTTCGTTCCCGTTGACGCTCGAGTCGATAGTTTGCCGTTAAATCTTGATAAGCTCGGCACTCTCCGGCTGTAGGTCGATTTCCGTTCAAAACCGGCGAAAATTAAGTCACTCATCCCTAACAGCAAATTGCGAGTAACTAGCAAATTGTTGCTGACCAATTTCACGTTTCGTGTCGGGCTAATAGCTGGCTTAATCGAGTCGCTGAACGAGTATCCTTTCATAGGCCTTTTTCGGGCTGGTGAACCTATAAATAGAATCAAACTGCCAGGGATCGTAAGGTCGTACCGACAACATTGCCGTTACTAAAGGCAACAATTTCACACTTTGCCATATTCTGTTCTAGTAATTGCGATACGATGTCCTATCGCGTTATAAAATCATTATTTATAAGAAACTTGCCACGCTTGGCGGACATCTTCCATTTCTAATGCCTTTCTTTCATCCCGGTAGCCATTGCGGCGTAGCCCCGCGCGAAAATTGAAGCTGTCTCGCGTTATTTCTTCCATTCCGTGGAACACTCCGGTTCCACGAACCCCCGTCGTCCCCTTTATCTATCGCAGAATCAACA